CAGTCCAGTGAACCGGTATACAGCACTACACTAACCACATCACTAGGCAATGTCAGGTCACTTCCATCATAGACCTTGTTACCTGATCCATATCTCCTGCGCTTTACTGTGGGTAAGATGTTTAAAGCTATTACATTACGGTGAATAAGGGCCTATAACTTCATAGACTCTGAGTTGCCAGCCGTTTATAGACACTTTGCAAAACGGCTAAGGGCCAAATATCTTTTTACGCATCATTTTGTGGGTTTAACTACTAGTATATAAAGTACTGTAAGTCTTAAAATGTTTGCTATAGTTTTATTCTTGTGGTGACTTCTCTACTATTACTACAAAAATTTTAATCATGAATTGATGCTGCAAATATTGTTTCTGTGGTATAAATCTGTACAAATACTTGAAATAGAGATGTTTGAATTGTGAACACCTGCATAAACCTCTTTTACCACAAAATTAAAATCCCAGCTAAAATTAATGAATTTACAGTACCCTTTGGAGAAACACATTGGCCTAGAAAATGAGTACCGGTAACTATTATTCGCATATTCATGCAGGGCCAATTGATTGTGCATTTAATGCTGTATAATATGCAATTGTTGACCTTAAGTCGGTATTCCAATACATTTATTGACCTATAAGCTAATATTATATCAGTTTGTTTTTGAGAACTGACCTCTCTATAATTTTCTTTATAGTAAATTATTATAATACTAGTATTTTTTTCTTCCATTTAAAATTAAAGTCGAGGCTATTACAGTATTAGCATAGACTTAAGGGCCTGGAAAATGAGCACTGGTAACTATTATTTGCATATTCATGCAAGGCTGGTGAATTGTGCTAATTTCGATACTACACAATATGCAATAATCATTGATGTTACCCTACAGTACATGGTTATTCTAATATTGACCTGTAACTTTTAGTAAGTTAACTGTATTTGAGAACTGGCCACCATACAATTTGTCTTATACTTTTCTCCCACTGAAAATAAAAGTCAAAGCTTTTAAGCATAGACTTACTAAGGGCCTGGAAATTGAGTACTGGTAACTATTACAAACAAGGTACTAGTAGGCTACTGCACAATTTGCAACTGATATCCCTACAGTGCAAGGGTACTAGTATTCTAGTATTCACCTGTAAGTTACTGTATTCCAAACAATTTCCTTTTTTTCTTCCACTGAAAATAAAAGTCAAAGCTTTTAGCATAGCCTTGCTAAGGGGTTGTGGCAGGAAGCGAATTTGCATATTTCCTGACATGCTCCATTATCTCGTAATCGACTTCCCCTCATATAAATTGGCTTTTATTACTGGTAATTAGAATCAGACCCATCAAAGGGTGATGGAGGCTCAGGAATACTGAGAGAAGGCAGACTCGGACTTGACAGGCAGTAAAAGTAGCCTCCATAGCATACCAAAAACTGGGGGGTTTTGGGGCTCTTCATGATCTTTGGGGGCTTTTATGTGCTATTTTCTGATTGCATATAGAGTACAACATAGCCAGTCTGGTTGAAATACCCCCGTTTTAGAACTGGGCTAATCAGAAAACAGCCGAAGACCACCAAACCCCCAGTTCTAAAGCCTGCTACGGAGGCTAATCAGAAAACAGCCGAAGACCACCAAACCCCCAGTTCTATAAGCCTGCTACGGTGGCTAAAATTTGGTGTTGACTACTCGAGCTGTGTACCTAAAGAAATGATAGGTGTACAAAATGAACCTGTACATACACAAGTTGGGCCAATCATTTGTAAGTTAAACAATCCATATAACTATCTTTTTACTGGTAAATTGCTATCTTTGAGGGTTTCTCCAAGGGCTTCAAAAACCTCCTTGATTTTAAAACTCAAGTTGTACTACTAGTAAATTTGACAACATTGTCACCTTTGAGATGCAATTTACCTAGTACTACGTATACGTAGTATCTTCATTGTAAAGATGGTGTCTGCTTTCTGTTTTATTTCGTTCAGGTCCAGACCTGTACCTTAATAATTTTGCAGGTACAGGTACAACTTGTGTATAGGTGTAAGGAACATAGCCCTAACTTTAAAATTCACTCACAGAAAATACACATCAAGAGGGCACAAATGGATAGTACCAACATTAACCCCTCTCCACTCTGTATTCCAAATCTATATTACCATTTGAATAAGGCATGTGTTGACCCCATACTCGGCCACCCAACTCACAGCAAAAAGCTAGGACTAAGGGAACATCAAAGGCATCCAACCAGGGGTCTTAACCTTGGGTTATACCACCCGGGTGATGTAGATGGGGGGGGATTATAGGCTCCATGTTTGATGAAGCTACATGGGCGCAGGTATCCCCGCTCACTCTGTCTAGCTCATAAGAGTATCGAACACCGTTAGCCCAAGAGATAAAATGGATTTTGCTGAATATTGAGTAAGCCGGTAGATGGTATGATATAGTAATAATGTTCTGATATTTCATTTTTTCAATAAATCCCTCATATACACATATTGAAGGCTTATGTTTTACCCTAATGCGTCCTAATATCACTCTAGATGTAGAGTTATTGATATTTTCTGGAGTAATAAATTTTGTTATCTTATGAATCTGATCATGGATGTTCCTCTGGAAAATTATAACTTTTTTCACCATATTTGAAGAACTGGTACATTTTTTTAAACACGAATATCAGCATTTCTGGCAGGAGGGACTATCCATATGTATCCAAGATTTCTAGATGGATAAATGAATAAATAGATGAATTAGCATTGTTGACACTTCACTGACATGACTTGATGATAAAGCTAATTTTCCATGTATCATTCTCATCTAGTTTTGTAGATTGTTAAGCCACCTTATATGTTGCCGTAATGTTTTGTCATATCTTGCCAGCAGGGCAAGCCCTTTGTAATAATACAATTTGTGTAATAGCCACTGGCCATGGCTAGCCCTGGCTGTGAGGATTGAACTGCCAAACCAATAAATAAAAACCATTCTCATCTACAAAACTGCAAGTCACAACCTCAAGTCTACAAGACTGAAGATATAGTATTTTTCGTTATCACCGGATGAGACATTTCCGTGACCTTAATTAAAGGATAAGGCACAAGGCACATCCTGTAAGGTCTGATACCACACTTCCTTCACAAATATGATCCTAAAGAGTAAGAAACCTGGATGCTGTCCTGGTATCTTCATTATCATTCTCAACATTTCTACCACCAGACGGCATTCAAAACAAAGAGTCAAGTGTCTTCCCTGATACATCGGTGAGGGTTAGACATCCAGGTAATAAGATACAGCAAAAAACAGTTACTCGAGCAACTGGATAATGATTTTGGAAACGGTCAGACGTTTCAGCTAGCATTCACTACCTTCTGTCAGTGACACTAGAGACTTGCAGGAGAAAGGCAGGTTTATACTAGTAAGCATGAACGGTGTCTTCCTTGTCTACTATTCTATATCAACAGTGTTACAGAGACAGTCAAGCACTGTAGAGACTACAACACTGCACGGGGATCTAACCAAACTTATCTTGTCCCTGCATCTTCATCATCATCAGATCAACATTCTACGACCAAAAAATGGCATTCAAAACAAATTTGAGAGCAACGTGTCTTCCTTGCCTACTATATGCATTGTTTAATGTTATATCTACATTGTAACTTATATCAACATACTAGGGGACTGTCTACAACACAGCATGGGGATCAAACCATAACTTATCCATCTTGTCCCTGGCCACTTCCAAGCGCTGGATCTGTTTCTCCTAGTAGATGATGGCAGCTATAAACTGTAGCACCTTCAGCACTCAAAACAAAAAGCAACGTGTCTTCCTTGCCTACTATTTTCTATCAACAGTGATGTGGGGACAAGCAAACACTGCATGGTACTTGCTTATCTTGTCCCTGGCCGCCTCCAAGCGCTGGATCTGATTCTCCTAGTACAGTAGCACCATCAGCACTCAAGACAAAAAGCAACGTGTCTTCCTTTCCTAGTACTTTCAATCAACTGTGGGGGACAGTCAAGAACCATAGAGTCTACAACATTGCGTGGTACTCACCCATTTTGTCCCTGGCCGCCTCCAGTCGCTGGATCTGATTCTCCAAGTATATGATGGCAGCTACAAACAGTAGCGCCATCAGCAGCTGATACCTGGTCTGCATGGTACGTGAGAACCCCATAGAAGCTCCTAGCTCCCCGGCCGAAGCCTCTTTCCTAGCGGGGACGTCGGCACTGGCAAGGGAACTAGCGGGACTGGGGCCCGCCTGGACGGCAATGTTCCCGTCTTTGTTCGCAGCTAGAGCGCCGAGAAGTTGGAGGAAAGAGTCAGTAGCTAGACTAGAGTGTTGCTGTGTGCTGCACGGCGGCTGTACTGCCGTCTTTTCTCAGGTCATCTCGAAAACCGGAAGTGGAATCCCACTGTTTTGGGTCACGGTGCGGCTCGTCTCAGATCTCGCGAGAGAAATCGGGCGGAAAGAAAAAATTATAATTTTTCAACTTCGGCAAAACTCGGTAGACTCAGAGAATGTTATTTTGTACGCGTATCGGGATCTTCTAGCGATGTGAAAGTCAATGTTTGACAGCTACGCAGGTGTTACTCGATACAGCTGCCAAGAAAATGTTTCACACAGCTGAAAATGAAGTTGATGATATTGACACGGTAAATCTCATTTGCAATAGGGGTGATATTGTCCGTTGAGCCTTCGTCACAATTAAATTAAAGAAGACTCATGTTCAATTTTACAAAACTTCATGACCAAAATTAAAATAGATGTGTTAGTGTCCTTAAATCGTTTTTGTTTTTCGTCTTTCTTGTATCACTTGAACATTTTACAAGTGATTTCTAACAATCTGTACCCTTTTTCTAATTGGTATCTCCCAATATCCGCTTCAGAGCAAGATGGCGCCGGCCAGTTACTTTATGTGGCTGGTTCTTCTCTTTTTAGTAAGTTTTCTGCTTATTTTCCGCCCTTTAGTAGTTGCTGACAATTCCTACATGTATGTAGTGATGTGGTAATTGATATGAGTGTTTAATTTTGACAACCCGGTTCTGTTTGGACGCAGTAGAACGTAAAAAATGGCCCAAATTTCACGATGACGTGGATATAAGTAACGTTATACCATATGCTAATAGTAATACCGAGTGTTTAGAAGCCTTAGCGTGCATACTACTTGTCAATTGTGTGTCTGAGTGTAGGCCTATATGCCCCCTGAATCAGTGTTTTATATACTAGTAGTTAAGGCATTGCGTCTAAACTAGGATACTTTTTCTCTTGATCTAGATACACTTCCGGGTACATTTAAAAGAGCGCTCCTAGTGTTTGAAACTGATACTGCAAGGAATTAGAAGTTTTCAGAGTGCCATTAAATCTCACCTTGTCCCGGCTATCTTTGACAATTTTCTCATAAGTTAATTACCTCCGTTAGAAATTTACCATAAAGTTTTATGAAGCTTTGATCAAAACATACTGGAAATAGGCTAATTCAGCCTCACAAGACATCGTAAAAACTGCATGTCACAAGAATACTGACTGAACACCACTGAAATCGTTATACAATGTTCTGTACTTTTGTGGGGACTTTCTTTCATGGTGGGAGGGAGGAAAGAAGGCACCCACTAAGTTTTGAGTTCACAGTTGAAACAATACAACAGTGCAGAGAATCGTGCCATGTAATTCTTCGTTTTCAATACCCCACGTATACCTGGGACAACACTAGCCGTGGCGACTCTTGATTCGGGCTTACATTGCATTACCCTCAGCAAGAGTCGTGGAAAGATCCATTGGCAGAACTGCACATTTCCCGTTGGCTGCACGATCCTCCGTTTTTGACCCGGTTTTTTGCTGTCCCGAGCTTCCCTACAATATAACTCCACAATTGGCCGGGTTGCCGATGTTTAGATCAGCCTAAATATTCCACAGCGCGACAGAAAAATAGTAAAATAGCTAGTCGGCACAAGCTGGCGGCCATCTTGGAATGTCCGCTACTGCCGTCGGGAACGCTCGGTAGCGTCACGATTACCGAAGCGCGACCGAAAGCTCTCCGATTATAACCGGAAAGGCTACCGAGCGTTCCCGACGGCGGTAGCGGACATTCCCGACTATATCCAAGATGGCCGCCAGCTTGTGCCGACTAGCTATTTTACTACTTTTCTGTCGCGCTGTGGAATATTTAGGCTGATCTAAACATCGGCAACCCGGCCAATTGTGGAGTTATATTGTAGGGAAGCTCGAGACAGCAAAAAACCGGGTCAAAAACGGAGGATCGTGCAGCCAAAGGGAAATGTGCAGTTCTGCCAATGGATCTTTCCACGACTCTTGCTGAGGGTAATGCAATGTAAGCCCGAATCAAGAGTCGCCACGGCTAGGACAACACATGTTTGCGAGCTAACTATGAGGACTGTGCACACAAAAAACACAGTAAATATTTCACAGTAACTAATATGCTATACAATGTATATTTATCGTTACATGCTTTCCTATGCCCCCAGCTAACCCTGGTGACGTGTGAGTACACATCAGAGAAGTGCCAGACCTGGGCTTCACCACAAACCTCCTCCGCAGCTCCTGTCTCACTCACTCAGTAATTAATAGTCTATACTTTAATCTGATTGCAGTTAACGCTGGTTACCTGTGAGTACACCTCAGAGAAGTGCCAGGACCTGGGCTTCACCACAAACCTGCTCTGCAGCTCCTGTCTCACTCACTCACACACTCACTCATTCACTCATTCAATCACTCACTCGCACACTCATACTCACTCACACACTCTATACTCACTCATACACTATTCACTCACTCACTTACTCACTCACACACACACACACACACTCACTTACACAGTCAGTCAGTCACTCACTCACTCACTCACTAATATTCTATATTTAAATCTGATTGCAGTTAACCCTGGTGACGTGTGAGTACACCTCAGAGAAGTGCCAGGACCTGGGCTTCACCACAAACCTGCTCTGCAGCTCCTGTGATGAGCTCAAGCAGTTCCAGCTGCAGTCTCTCGAGGACAACTGCAGACAATGTTGTCAGCAAGATAACCCCGGCAGTACACAACAGGTACACTGTGCTGGGAAACATATCCTCCCCTCACTCTCAGTGTATAACAGATTGCCATCTTCATGTCTAAAGCGCTTGGGCCCACACAGTTAAATGTGTCAGCACTACAGCAGGAAGGATGTCCTGGACCACTGGTGTTTTCACAGTGCAGTTTCACTGTGTATTCAACTCTTGTAATCTTTCCTATAACTTGCCAAGTGCTACTAGTAAGCAGATAAGCGGAGAATGTACAGTACAAGTGTGTGTGCTGGTAAACAATCAGTTAAAACATGGAGGTAGAAAATCAGATTTTAAAATTTAAAAGTCAAAATCCTCCCCTCACTTTTCGGTCTGTAGAAGAGTGTTAATGTTATCTCCATTTCTAAAGCCCTTGGGCCACAGCATTGTGCCATCACTATATTAGTGAGCCAGTCCCTGTAGTGGTGGCACTTTGTGTTTAAATATTTTAATCGTTTCCTGTAACTTATATTGTCCAGTGCTTAGCAGAGAATGTACGTGTACAATTTTGAATTCCTTGGTATAACTAGTTTGAATCAAACCCTGGGCCTACATGACTTGTGCAAATTGTAGTTTTGACCCATGTTGTTGTTTTCTCTTCCAGTTGTTTCCTGGTGCGTTGTTAGAAGTGTGTGGATGAAAGTTGGGGAGATGGCCCCAGGTCCAAGGTATGTGCTGAGTTTGCAAATTAAGCAGAAACAGAGTCTTACTTTGCCAGCATGATAGAAACAAAATTGAGAGATTACAGGTTCCATTCCTGGCTAGACATTGCGTCTTTGGGAAAACACACTTTACAAGACTTTCCTCACTCTACCCAGGTGTACCTGACTCTGGCTGGGAAGTTAAAATTAGACATTAATAGCTGTGGGTACATATATGTATTGTAGAGTAGTAGTAAAATGTTGAACCCTATTCCAACACAAGGGTTACACAGGGATCAAATTTTCAACAACCACTGTCACCTTCATCAGGATAATTAATGACCAATCACTTGTATCTATTGTGGATATGTTTCCTGGTAGCTACGTAGTAGGAACTAGGGTGTATATTGCAAGTTTTTTCTGGCCAGTCAACCTGCTTGTCCCAAGCAAGTACTTCTCCTCACCACCCATTTCTCCTCATTTTGCCCCACGTGTGGTTGTTAGGACCAGGTGAACTTTACGAAAGTGAAACATCCAGTCCTTCCATCTTGTTGACGGGTACCAGTATCCTGCCCCTGTCCTTCCTCCAGGCATTTTTCCACGGAGTGGTCACAGGTTCCATTCTTGGGTAATCATTTCATCATTGAGATTAAAGCACTATATAAAAGGCTTTCTTCACTCCACCCAGGTATACATTGTAAATGTGTACCAGACTTTGGTTGGGGAGGTACAGTTTGTAAAAGGACATGAAAGGAAAAGGAACTGTGGACATCTAGCTGTAGACACTTCTCTTGGAAACTACATGTAGGCAGCATATTATGAAAAAGTAATACTTGCTTTTTGGCCAGTCAACTTCCTGAAAATGTCTGTAGCAACAACCCCCACCCCCTCACCACTCATTTTTCCTCAGCCCCATGAAACATCCAGTCCTTCCATCATGTCGACAGGTACCGGTATCCTGCAGTGCCCCTCTTCTTCCTCCAGGCGTTTTTTCCGCAGACAAAAATCCATCTCATCCCCGTCGAGTAGTGGATCAATATGACCCGCGGGGTGTATCTCACCCAATTTTCCCTCCCCCGTGGACTTAATTAGCTATGGGGAAATGATTACGGAGGCTATTTCACAGGTAATCCCTTACAGTGCAGGTGGACAGGTAGGGGGAGAGGTGAAGATCCAGCCCAATCCTTAATCATCTAGCAGGGCCTGGGGAAAATAATGTTGTGTTTCCTGTGTTTTTTTTTATTCCAACATGAAATCACCAGACGTGGTGACGGCACACTTAAGTTTTTTCAACTTATATTAATGCCGCTACCAACACGGGACAATACAATACTCATTTTCACCTGAGTGAAGTGAGGAAAGTCGTGTTAAGTGCCTTCCCAGGGGCATGTCAGGACTCGAACCCAGGACTTCTTGGTTCAGAGTCGACCCCATGTTTCCTGTTTCCTGGTCGACCCTAGAAAAACTGCCAACCCTAGCCTTTTATGGGTTAACCCCTAGCTACAAGGGACATATATTTTTCGAGCTGATAAACTTTTTCTAGCTAAATTATCTTACACCTGAGTGATGAAATGTTGTACATGTACAACATTGAAAATATAAGTGTCTTCATAGTCTAAGGTATGTCTAAGGTAGTCTAAGGTCTAAGGTAAGGACTCTTCATAGTCATGCAAGTTTTACTCTGTTAAACTGTAGTGTATACGTTGGATCACTAGAGATTGCAAATGTCCAATAAAAAAATCTAGTAAAAAAAAGATAATCCCTCCCTACCGACCCTAATTTTTTCAGGACTGAAACAGGAAACACAACATGATTTTTCCTAGGCCCAATCCTTAATCATTAAGCGAGCACAGGCCAGGCTTAAGGGAAGGGGATGGTGTGATATAAACGCCCCGGCGTCGGTCGGAACAGTTGTCCTGAAGGGGTTACTACTTACAGGCATTAATGTTGCTGGAGATTGATACGGCAATTGAAACATGTAAATTGAATAATACATGTACATCATGTTCACACCAAAGGAAGCTGTTGGGTACATGTGTGTACTTGTAGCAGTGTAGTCACTGCTTTTTTTCTTAAATTGAAATGCCTTAATTAAACTGATGTAAGGATTTTGCCTGCAACTCTGGGCAAGAGTACTCTTTCTTCATGTTTTGGTGACATTCTGCTTAAAGTAAAGTAAAATACAAGTTAAGATTAAACTGTTATGCACGACTAAAGTTCTGTGAGCGTAGAAGCTTTCTATCTATGTATGTGCATCTATTTTGTATTATGTTGTGCACCCCAAATATTTTCTACGTACACATGTACATTACTTTACAATGTACTATATTGCCTCAATAGGGAAAAGCAACTGAATGATATTGGTAATGCAGCCAATGTGACTCACAAACATACATTTCAAATAATAGCTGTCAAAGAAGAAATATTGATGTAATTTCATAGACATACATTGAAGATATTAAGCAACCAAACTGCGTGTATGATTAATCTCATTTGAAACCCTAAAGTATGCAATATGAGGTGTTAATATGATTCAGTTACAACTTACATATATGTGTACATTTGCATCATAAAACAAAGTGGTAGAGATCCTTTTTTTTTCAATATTCTGAAATATTGCAGTTGAGTCAAAATTGTTTTGCAATTTGGAAACAATTACAAATACACAAGCCTCCATACTACAACCTTTTCTACATGTACCTAATAATTGAAACCTAGAAATTGCAAAATGCATGATTTTTCTTCTGCAATTTCTTCTGGGTATTTTGAACACTGAAACAAATCAAATCAACTTTATTGCTCAACAACTGTAGCTGGTACAATGTATGGCAAAGAAACAACAAGGGTACATACACAAACTATTATACTAAAATGTAATAATACTAAAATATAATTCTAACAAGCTAGTCCGTAATGATACTTAAGCTAATCTATTGTGTTTTCTTAGGAAGAGTATAATTACATTTTGTAATTCAGGATATATTAGCTATATGGTGTCACTTTAAACAAGAGATTCATAGAGGGCCCTTGGCGTGATATTAGCGTAGGTCCTGCTATGAACATAGCCCCTAGACAGGGATCAGCATACATAATACATTATACAGGTGGTACAGGGTGTTTGACCTTTCTTTGACCCCTGCATGTCTTTACATACACACCCAGGTAGCACACAGGGAATTCCTGATTTTCCATGGATATCTACAATATTTTTATGTTTAATCAAATTTTTATGTAAGATACATTATTAGGAAATGGAATTTTGAAAGTTAACTGTATATTTTTCTGTTCCATATTAGAAGTGCTTCGTCCAGAAAATTGGTATAAAGAATACATGTAAGCTTTCACCTTACAACATGACAAAAAACATGACAAAAACACTTGTTTCAGCTATTAGTGAAATATTGATATACTCAATAATGAAGCTTCCAAGTAGCGGATTGCATGTTCAGCACCAAGGACAGTGCAAGGGAAAATACATAGACAATATTTGCCAGAAATTCACAATAATGAATAAAACAAGTTAGAGATTCGTCAAACATTAGAGATTCCAAGCCCTAAAAACTGCACTGGTTGCCTTTAAGGGAGTAAAAAACCCAGCAGCAAGTTAGCCCATGATATATGTAGTACATATCCAACAGTCCTGTTGATAGGAGATGTTATAGTCGTTAAGTGCCTGAGGGAGGGAAGAAATGTTCCTTTTTATCGCCTGATACCATTTTTATTGCCGTCTGGTGTAATGGACAGTGGCATGAATGGGTCAGGGTAGTCTTGGCCCAGAAAGATAACGTCTACAACCTGCCTTAAGCTGTGGGATCATTAGCAACTTCAAGGTTAAGAAATGGGCACCATCAAATGGTGTAAATATACATAACTATATGACTATTATGAGCTGTTTTTCACTGTAGCAGGTACATAATGTAGATTTTTTAATGACATCTGCACATTTTCTCCTGATTTAAAAAAATCTTGTTACTCTCTGGTGTCATGCTCCACATGGCAAGAAAATAGGAAGATACATGTACACTATTGCGTGGTAGCCTTGGAGTATACTTGTAGAAGTGACACAAGTGTACAAGTGTGGTACCTTTGAGTGTAGTTGTAATGGTATAACTATACCTCATAAACACATAACTATACTATATTTCATAACACAGACTTGTAGGCCACCATACCATTTTCAGCTGACAGATAACAAATACAATGTAAATGCAACATTTCTACATTAACATTTATAGTCTCTATTTTGAAATTCAGAATCATTTTGGATTTTATTTGCCCATCTTGTATTCTATTTGTTTTATCATACTTTTTCCAAGTTATGTGCCCTCGGCTATGCTGTGATTGCTTCCTTCATCCAAAACTCTAGGCATTTAAGTGATCGACCAACGAGAATTCATTGAGAAGCTTTGATTTTGGATATCGTTACACTCTACAGAAATCTGGTTTTTTAACATTGGAATGCGTTCTGAATTTATAACGTGTGGGGGTTGCGTGGTGGATGTAAAAAAAATCGTTAGCCCGACCGTGAAGGTATCAGGCACCATTGCTCGTTGCTGGTGTCGATTTGATGAATTGGCTTTCTGTGGCTGGATAATTTAGTCCCTCGGCGTCTGTAGTTTTTCCTCCGGCTGTGGGTGGCAATGGTGGCAATATTAGGCCTAGGAAAAATAATGCTGTGTTTGCTGGTTTTAGTCCTGAAAAAATTAGGGTCAGTGGGTAGGGATTATCTTTGTTTTTGTTTTCTTTCTTTTTTTTTAAAGACTTTTGCAATTTCTAGTAATCTAACTTAAGGCCACACTAATTTAATTTCTTGGTTCTCGGATTCGCCTCTTCATTTTTTTCTGATTTGCAAAAAAAAAAAAAAAAAGTTTGATTCTGGTCCTGAATCAACTGAAAATGCTCATATTTTGCCCCCAACAGTTGAGGAAAGTCCTTAGTTCCTAGTTGTTACAGTTTTCCCATCTATCATTGCAGTGGTTTGATTAAAAGTTCAAAATTCAATGTTTAAATTTTAACCCAGCCTTTTGTGTTGACTTCATGGCTCATTTTGTAGCATTTAAGCCTATAATAGGATGCCTAGACCTGTTTTTATTTTTATTTTTTTTCGCCCTGTCGCTTCATATTTTTTCTGAAAAAATCCGAGAACCAACAAATTAAATTGGCACTGTGGCCTAATTATACAATACAGTTTAACGAAGTAAAACTTGCATGAGGACACTTTTATTTTCAATGTCAATGTTAGAAAACCAATTTTATCACTCAGGTTTTATAACTCAGGTGTCATATCATGGAGCTAGAAAAGGTTGATGAGCTCAAAAAATTTATGATTTACTAGTATGTCCCTTGCAGAGGTCCACCCCCCAAAAAAGGCTAGGGTTGGTAGGTTTTTCTAGGGATGGTCGGGAAACAGGAAACACAAAATATATTTCCTAGGCCCAAGCGTTGTTTGTTAGATTGTGTCGCGCATTGCGAGTGATGTTACCAGACAGACCACCCGGTGGGTCGAATGGGCTCTTCTGGGCTGGTGTCATGCCTGTGTTTTACACTAAAAGCTTTTAAAGTGGCAGAAATGGCAATGGGGTGCAATATGGCTGCATGACATGGTATATACCACATGTAGTATGAACTATGAATGATGTACATTAGTTTGAGAGACCTGACCTGCATTCATGCTGTTATGTTTGCACTTTGCAGTGCTTCTATAGTGCTACAAATTGTTCATGTACATACATTATGTAGGGACAGTACTGTAAACTGATTTGTACTCTGAGTGCTAAGCAGAGAAAGCAGTTTGTACCATTTTTAAAGTCTTTGGTATGACTCAGCCGGGGATCGAACTCACGACCTACTGAATGCACTCTACCCACTTGGCCATTGCACCAGTTCTCTATTTGCATTACTTGACTCAAACTCAAAGTCATATTCCAACAGGTGCATGTAGTAATGACTCGGGCCAATGTCACCTGGAACAAACTCATGACCTACCGAATGCAAGCCACTCGACCCATGCCACTTGGCCATTGCACCGGTTCTCTATTTGCATTACTTGACTCAAACTCAAAGTCATATTCCAACAGGTGCATGTAGTAATGACTCGGGCCAATGTCACCTGGAACGTAGCACGACATTCGCGATCCCCTCTCTTTATTGAATTCCGTTTTCCCCCTTTGCCCCGAAAATCTGGCCATTTCCAGGCGTAATCTCCCCACCACCCCGCCGGTAATGCCTATTGATTCCCGTATGTCCCGAGATTGGGGCTCAGCGGGAGATTTTATTCCCCAGATCGCGTCGGAGCTGCAATAATGTCGTTAGGCCACAGCAAGTAAATTTTATGGATGACATCCGCCACAGACTCCAAATCTAATTCGAGCGGGCAAAAAAACAAAAACAAGGCAGGCCAAAAAAACAAGGTTCCTACATTTTTGTGAATAATAAACCATTCTCTCTCTCTCTTTTATTCCCCAGATCGTCGGAGCTACAGTTATGTCGTTAGGCCTAGGAAAAAAAATGTTGTGTTTCCTGTTTCCCGACCGACCCTAGAAAAAACTGCAGACCCTAGACTTTTTTGGGGGGTTGGAAGCCTGCAAGGGACATGAATATTTGAACTGATCCACCTTTTCTAGCTCAATGATCTGACACCTAAGAGATAAAACGTTGTACAATTAGTTTTCTAACATCGACGTTGAAAATAAAAGTGTCCCCATGCAAGTTTTACTTTGTAGCTCAAGTAATGTCGTTAGGCCACAGCAAGTAATTTCTATGGATGACATCAGCGCATGCATTAATTTTTGCCTGACTTTGGGGGTAATTTCAAAATTCTAACATGTAGGAACCTTGTTTTTTTTTCGGCTCGCCTTGTTTTCTTTTTTTCGCCTGCTCGCATTAGATTTGGGGTCTGTGGAGGATGTCATCCATAAAATTTACTTGCTGTGGCCTAACGTCATTATATCGGGAGGGGGGCAAAGGAACAAAATGAAGTTGAGATGGTGACTTTGCATTAACCCCACAAGTTTCCCTGGGGGCTTTTCAGGGGCTTACTGCTTACTGTAATTCACTTTATGTTCACGGTAGCAAAATTTCACGGTCTGAGAAAAATGGACATGTTCACGAAACTATATATTCACGGTGCAGGTGCAGAAAACGAAAGTCCAGAAATTATTTGTTTACTGTAATGATAAGTTCACGGTACAGAAGTGACAGTGAAAACAGTGAACATAACAGTTAAGTGAAAATATCAGGAATTACAGTAACCATTTAATATGAAAGACTTGAGGCTGTTTTCAGAGAAGTGCTGTGGTGTACAGATAACCGATTTAGTAAAGTAGTAACTTTTAATTAGACTTAATCTGGTCTATTAGTCAGAATTGATTGAATTGCTAATTTGTGTAATTATGTTATGGATGTGGAGAAGACAGAGTTGGTTTTTTTTCATACCTGCACTGGTGCATTGAAAATCCCGGTGTGAGTGGTTCAAACCCTACAGTCCGGTCTTACGCAGCTTGTACATGTACGTACATGTACAAAACTGGTGTGTTACGCCTATTAAAAGGCGGTTATGCGAAAAAGAAAAAAACAATTAAACAAAGTTTACCTGTCCTGTGAACCACTCAGTAATTAGGGAAGTGTGGATAAAACACTAAAATTATATAAGATATTCAGAAACCTGTGCCACTGTTTCTTTTATACTTCATAGGTATACATCCTAGTATTATTCTTTATTGACACAACAAAAAAAATTACTATTTAAGGACTGGTGCAGGTAAACATCAGAAGTGGAGGTGGTATTTTGAGCCCTGTGAGCGTATACGTACTTAACTCAGATCCTACCGACACCCACACCAATAACATCTTTCATGTTTTCATAACAGTCAGATTGAACGCTTGGGTGAATCTTACCATCATTTTTGCCTCCAGTCGGCAGCCTGTGAAATTTTATCGTGCACTGTCTCTAAAATCAGGTGTTCGGAACTCCACAAAAACCCAAAATGATTGGATCGACCTCGGAAGCCACCCTGAGATATGACCGAACTTTGATAGCGGGCCGTAGCCGCCCTGTAAAATGGAGTAAGAAAATAATAGGAAATTTGGGAGTTAAACTTCATGGCTGCCGTTACACATTCCATCAGATTTTATGGCAGTGATGATATTCGACGTGATGAAATGTGTATTTTTACGGCTGATTTGGTTACCTGGGTGTCAGACTTGACGTTCCATAGTGTCAGCTTTTTAGGGCTGGAACTGGCCATGGTTTAGGTTTAGGTACATGTATATAAACCAAAGAAACGAAAAGAAGCCGAACCTCTGTATTAGAGTAGTTTTAGAGCCGTTTGTACTACAAACATGTATATTACCTATTTCATCTGTTCACCTGTACTTAGCCCGATAGGGCATGAATGTACAATAAACGTTATCATTATTATTATAATCTCCAAGCAGATGTTGGGATAGATAAGAAAAATTGTCATCTTTTCTGAATGACCAGTCTTCTCTGACAGCCACTAAACATCCCAACAGAATATTTACTTCTTCCTCAGATTCTTTGTAAGAAAAGAAAAGTACATAAGATTTCCAAACATGACAAGTTCATTGTTGATTGTGGAAGGGAATACTCAAAGAAACACAAAATCTAACAAGGCTGAGGCAATAAAAATCATTGCCAAGGCGACGACTGAATGATATATATTATTTCATGTGGTGGAGCTAGCAATCTACATTACAATTATCAGAAAAACATATTTCCCTATGTTATAAAGACATGCACATAGTGAAATTTACAGGCTGGGTGGAGAAGGTGTGGGGCAATATACCAAATACACGTATAGGAGGAATCAGCCGTTCTTCCCCAGCAATATAGATTTTATGATGACATACTTACTTTACTTTGGTCGAGTTCCCGCTAGAACCAAACTGAAAACCATCCTCCACTTCACTCTATCCTCCACCAGAGACTGGATTTTATGTCTGGTCTGAAGTTGTTACTCCTTTGACTTTTTTTTTACCTTTTGTGGGTTCCAAAAGGACAGATAATTTCTTTTCTCTCTGTGACCTGTTTGAATATCGTATTTGGCCAAAGACAGCTGTGTGCTCTCTGTCCATGGTGTGGGGAGAAGACTGATCATGCCAGGCATCTGGATGGGTGGCACGTGGGCACCCTGTGTAAGTTACCTACTTGATCCAAAAACCACATGGCCGAAGGTTTCCTCCAAACCAATTCCCTGGGGAACGCATTCGTGCAATTTTTGAAATTCTTTCAAAGCGATCGTAGTACTTGCACAATGCCTCCGCCCCAAAGGCGTCGCCAAAAAGGCTGACACTTTAATTGTCTATAAGAATTTGTTATGTGATCTTATTCACATGTTTCCCTTTTTATTTTCCAGCCTTCGTGAAGAGCGATAGGCCCAAGCAGTTTCCAGGTCTGAAGATCAAGGTAAGATCTTTACATTTAACCTTTAGTATACTAAATTAGACTTCCTATACAAGTTCTTTGTTGGTTATTAAGTGTTATGCAACTAGGAGAAGATTAACAACTTGTTAGTGGTTGCAGAGTGGTTAGGCTAGCAGATCACTGTCACTGGTTTGATTCCTGGCTAGAAGTAGAATTAGCAACCCACTGTCTAAATGGTCTCAAAAAAGCTTTGGGACCTTTACCCTTTTTTTACGGTTCGTTAGAAATGAAGATGGAAATACAAATTAGTGCCATGTACCATGAAGGGACAAATGCTCTTTCAGATGTAAAAACTTGCATGTAGACTAAGTAACAAACTTGAAATGTAGAGCTCAAGAATCTAACATAGGATCCTTGAAATTAAAAAAGGGTCTAGTTAGATTAAACTTTTAAGGCGACCATGACTCAAAGTCAAAATTAAGCCATCTTCATCTTTTGCCAGTCTTGGTGTAATGGTCAGCTTAGTCCCTTGCCATTGATGCTGAAATCTAGACATTGATCTGACATTGATGCCTGGTCGAAGAACACCAAAATCCAGAATACAAGTCGATGGACAGAGATTTCTCTATCTGCAATCCAGAATCTGAATCTAAATCTCTGTCCATCGACTTGTGCAAGGATTTTCTATAGCTCAGGTACTTAGAGATCTCCCATTAGGGACTGGCAATTGGGTCACAAATTAAGGCCACTGACTGATAGTAGTAGTAGTAATGGTTTATTGTTGTTTCACAAACTTTACAGAATGGCAGAGCCATGGCACCAGACCATGGCTCTGAATTGATCTGTAATTAACAGAATCGTTCCATCAATAGACAACATTCAACGCATAAAACAAGATCACATATCAATCAAGTAATTAAAAGAAATACATTAAGTTAAAATACCATATAGTTTAAAACATTAATACTCTCGGCTAGGACAACATAGATTGAACATTGGGTATTAATAAAAGAATATTCATCATGAAAACATCTCGGGGAACAGTCACCAAGTTATGAGTTCTGATATGTACAATTGAACATGTACTCAATACACCATAATCCTATATCTCTGTCATTGACCAGTTTTTATCTGCATTAATGCCATTATGCTGTGAGTTTGTTTATTTTTGTGATAACGTCTGTATTTTAAGCTTGCAGATCATGATGAACAATCTAGTTGTACTGTTGTTGTTGGCTTTGCTGGCCTGCTGCACCACATAGTCGTGCATGGCCAGTTTCTGTGCAGTTGTCAGGTCCTCATCTCTCAGGGGAAGGCTCCTCTCTTCAGATGAATCAGACGACACAGCCTGGGTAAAACTGGTCATCTGTCTGTCTCTGACTCTGTCCTGATCCTAACTTGAACATGAGGGAGAACACTGAGAGATGACCTTCTCCTGAATCTCCCTGTCAACCGTGACTGGCACCACAGATGTAGATTTTAGTTGTAGGACACTAAGGAACGCAACAAGAAACAATCCACATTGTCCTGTTTTGTTTGAATATTGACATGAAGGACACTTACATTGTACTTCTGTTGTATTTGCATAAAGATTCTGTCAAGTTTATTACTTCTTGACTTCTTGGCTGTCATCATACCTTACACAATTATTTTTTTATTTTATTTTTATTTTATTTTATGACGATTTACCACATTTGTGGAAGGATTGACATAACAGGTGACTATCACCTCTTCAAAGATGTCAACCCCGAGACCAGACTGTAAGGCTTGAACCACTCACACCGGGAAGGTCCCCTACTCTTTTCGATAAGTGCGGTGGGTTCTTTAACGTGCGTGGGGTGTGGCTCTCCCAAACACGGGACCTCCATTTAACGTCCTATCCGAGGGACGTCCCTAGCCGAAGCTAGGTACTCATTGCCACCTGAGTGAAGTGAGGAAAGTCGTGTAAAGTGCCTTTCCCAAGGGCACAAGATCGGTGACAAGGTGGGGTTCGAACCCACGACCTCTGGAGTGTGAGCCGAACGCGCTACCGATTGCGCCACACGACCCCACTGTCATCATACCTTACACAATTATAAGTGCAAAGCCTTGAAAAGTGCTTAACAACTCAAGTGATTTTTTTTCTTCCTTCTTTCTCCCCGTTCCTGTCCTTAGTATGTCCGTGGCGCGGACCCGATCCTGAAGATGCTGGACAGCAGGGACCAGGTGGTCGAGACACTCTCCATCGAGAAGTGGAACACCGACAACGTCGAGGAGTTTCTATCTGAGAAACTACAGAAGTTATAATTTAAACACCGTTCTCTGCAGTTATAATAGTTATAATTCTGTTTCAATTCCATTCGATTCAATATCAGTTAACTAAAGGCTGTTAGAAATATTGTCAAAGGCTGATGTATGTAACATTACTTAATTTGAGGAAAGTAGTAACTTATAGGTGCGGCAATCTAAAATTCTGATGGGCAACCTAATTTTTGCCACTGGGCAACCTGGTTCAAAAAAGTATTTTGCACACTGGGCGTCCAGGTGGCGATACGTCCGCTCCCCCCATCCCGGTGACCAATCTGCGACGCTGGGAACTGTGACAAGTAATGTCCCGCGTGTTAATTGCACATTAACCCCTGATGGCTCCGGACCAGGCTTGATGAGTCTGAGGGTCGGAATTTGTCGTGCCGGGCGGAATCGGTGGCAGGAAGGTCAGGTTCGCCGGAGGGGCATTTGCGTCAAACTGGCACCTCAATGCCAGGGGCAGACAGTTAGGCCATTGTGCATCGTTCATTCCGCAGTTAGTTTTGGCAGTTAGTCCCCACAGAGGTATGTTTCACTGATACAGGGGGCATCATTCAGGCTAACTCCACTTTGTCACTTTCAAGAGGAGTGTGTGTCTAAGAGGAAAGTAGACATGGAAATGTTCACAATTGGGTTCCCACAAACTTTGTCCTAGAGGAAAAAATGAAAATTTTACATGGTCCCATCTCATATACTGTGTCAAGTCTTACTATGAGATCTTATGGAAAACAGAGGTTTTGAAAACATTTCACATGCTCCCTATTCAAAGACTTTGTCCTAGTCAAAAATGAACATGAGAATTTCACGTTTCCCCTTCCAGTAAACATTATCCAATTGGAAAAATTGAATACTTCCACATACCCCAGGAACCCACAGACTTAACAATTGGTAACTCCACTTGTTGCCCAAGGACTGAACCGGCATTAATGTTTTTTTGGCCCAGAATTATCATTCCAGGTTTTCAGTAGTGATGTTAATTTTTGTTATTATCCAGACACAGTCCGGGGCTGTTCCAAAATAGCGACCTTTTGCGTATCCCGACTACAACGTACTTGTCACCACGCAACTGCATGTCCCACAACACTCTCTACACATCCTGATACAACGCTTCCAGACTCTTAGAGGGTTTGAACCGATGTTGTGTGTAAAAACTTCGGCCCAATACCAAATACGAAGCTAAGTCGCGTCAATGGACTCCGCTGGCGGTAGACGCCGTCTCGATCAGACTGATCAAAACTCAACAAAAACGGGTCGATCCCAACAGATTTTATTTTGTTCCAGTAACGAGAGGTATGAGTGGTGGTAAACTCTTCGTGTAATAGGACAAAGGACAGTTTACCTAACGTTTGTCGGCCATGCCAATGCTTGGAAACTCGCTGTAGGCGCTGTAGCCCCAAAATGGCGTCGCACGGGACATGAGGGGTCGTGACGTCATGATGACGTGTGGTGAATAAGCTCTATAGACAACATAGCCGGCCTGATTAAATTACCCCCATTTTTAGAACTGGGCTGATCAGAAAACAGCCGAAGACCACCAAACCCCCAGTTCTATAAGCCTGCTACAGAGGCTGTTGCAGCACAGGTGTGAATTTTCAACCTCGAATAACGGAAGATCGATTGCAGAAGGGATAATCACACCAGTCCTGAGATCTGAAGCTCTGCTCCGGGCCTGTACCTCCACTGGGAGTCTGGCATCCTCTACTCTCTATTCATGTAGCCTCCGTAGCAG